ACCCCTTAAAGTGTAGTACCCCCCCCCCCCCCCCCTTCCCCCCCCCCCCCCCCACCCCACCCACACAGTTAATATCAATTCAGATTGATAGTTCTTAACTCCAAATTTTTTTACTTGGTGAGTTGACCCAAACCTTCTAGTATTACTTTAACAGCAGTTTGGGGTCTTTCACCTTGAAAATGATGAAAACTAATTTTTATTGAATGTTGGAGGGAGAACCCACAAAAAACAACAAATATATAGGTTTTATTCCAGTTGAAAATGGCCTTAAACAAATAGGGAACAGATGCTGGAGAAGTACCCACTGCACAAGGAGAACTCTGTGGGTAAAGGCAGCTACATTGTTCCCTGAGCCAGCTCTCTCTCTCACCCACATTGTCAGGGGAAGGAGAGGCATATTGCTTTCAGGACATAGACAAGACTGGGAGCAAAACCAGCATGATGGAATGGAGCTCTGCCCTGTTCAGTCCTCTAGGAGCATAACACCCTGGAGGGCATCCATGCCTCTGGTCTAAGTTAGTGCTTGTGCAGGGAGCCACATCTGCAGCACCTCCTCTCCATTCCAACAAACCATGAAGTCCTGAAAATCACAGGACCTGCTTTACCTGACTTCTGCAGTTCACAGCTGGTCCTGTTTATAATATAGTCAGGAAGGTAAAAAAGTCATAATTACACCAAGCCTACATATCTTGATATGTTCCTTACTGTATTGCAAATCAAATCAGCTTACAAAATTATATTGTGTTGAGGCACTGTTTTTCAGAAGTGCTAAGTACCCATAACTCCAGCTAACATTAATCAGAGTTGTAGATGTGCAGCACTTCTGATAAATCAGGCCCTTTTGGACGTAATCATTCTGCATTAGAACCATATTAGATAGACACTAAGATCATGTTCCCAGTAATTTGTGACATTCAACCTACTTAAAATAAGGCAGCTAGCTGATTGACTCGATAACTATTTGGTGTGAATGGTCTAATATTTTTTTCTATTGGCAGGTGTTTGTTACAAAAACAATACAGCCTTCAAGACCTGCATGAACTCTGCAATTATTTTACTGCTCAAACTTCCTGTTGGCAGAAGAGAGATCAGGCCAATGGAATTATATGCTCCATGAGTGCCTATAGCTAAAACAATTTATGTTCAAAAACAAACTAAGATTAAAAAAATGTTTGATGAGATAAGCTGGTGTGATTGGTGCATTTTTATTTGCTTCCTTTTAGCGCTGAGATACACGCTGTCCAATGCCTCCAGGAAAAAATAATTTGCCATTATTAGCAAAAAATAAAGGAGAATATTAATGTGAATTATTTAAATATGTTGACATTGTTTCCTAGATCTATGTTGCTCAGCTAGCAGGAGTATGATCTGCAAAGATACAGCTACACAGCAGGCCTAAGTCGAATTAAGCTATGCGACTTCAGCTACGTCAACTGCATAGCTAAAGTCGAAATAGTGTAATTCGGCTTTTTGCGCTTGTAATTCGGTTTTTCTACACTTCCTTCAACTTCCCTTACGCCTCATAAAATGAGTTTATAGGAGTCAGAGTAAGAAGTCCTTCACCTCGATATTGTTTCAAAATAAAGGCTTGGAGTGTAAATGCACATTGTTACTTTGGAATAACATCAATTATTTTGAAATAACGCTGCTGTGTAGACATACCCCAAGTGAATAGCAAGGAGCTGCAGGACTGGACAGTCCTGCCTGGAAAGAAATTAGCGATGGTCAAATGTCAGAGGATGTGGGTAGTCAATGACAGGTTTCCACTCCCTGTCCATGGCATGACAGATACCCAGATTTAGCTACTCCCCACAACCTCTTCACTGGGCCCCTTTGCAACATTCTAGTCAACCTGGCAGACTCCCAACTTGAACCTTCCTCAGCTCCCTAGCTTTACTAACTTTCCTCTGTCTGTTCTAGCTTTCTTCCTTCTTTTCAAACAGAGGTTCTGTCCCCACCTACCCAGCTAGCAGAGTAAGGCATTAAAAAACCAACCAACCAACCAACCAAAAAACCCTCTTACATCTGACAAATTATTTTCTTATTGAACAAATCCTAAGTTGTCTTCCATCTGCTTGTTTGCCATTGGTTATATTTGTAACACAAAAATTAGTGAGTTTGATTCATATTTGTACTAAAGCTCACATTATACTGCGAGAGCAAATAAGAATGTAACTCCACACATTTTTTGCATATTCAGACCTGAGGAAGTACCCTAAGAACAGCCATACTGGGTCAGAGCAAAGGTCCATCTAGCCCAGTATCCTATGCCAGGTGCTCCAGGGAGAATGAAGAGAACAGGTAATCATCAAGTGATCTCACCCGCGTCACCCATTCCCAACATCTGAAAAACAGAGGCTAGGGACACCATTCCTACCCATCCTGGCTATAAGCATAAATGGACCTACTCTCCATGAATTTATCTAGTTCTTTTTTGAACCCTGTTAAAGTCCTGGTCTTCACAGCATCCTCTGACAAAGAGTTCCACAGGTTGACAGTGTGTTGCATGGAGAAATACTTCCTTTTGTTTTGTTTTTTAAACCTACTACCTACCTATTCATTTCATTCGGTGACCCCTAGTTCTTACGTTATGGGAATAAGTAAATAACTTTCCCTTATTCACTTTCTCCATACCTGTCATGATTGTTTAGATCTCCATCATATTCCCCCTTACTCTCCTCTTTTCTAAGATGAAAAGTCCCAGTCTTTTTAATAGTTCTTCATATGATAACTCTCAGTAGCTAGTATAGGAAAGAGAATCACCTAGTGGATGGAACACTGCAGTGGATCTGGGTTCTATTCCTGATTCTGTCACCACCCAGTTGGTTAATCTTGGACATGTTACTTCACATCATCTTGCCTCAGTTTCCCCCTCTGTAAAATGGGGATAATTGCACTTGCCTAATTGGTAAAGCACTTTGAGATCTGCTGATGAAAAGCCCTGTATAAAAACACTGCAGTAGTAGTAGTAGTAGACCAGAAAAGTATCATTTAAATGGCTTGGAATTCTGAGGAGTTTTGAGGGATCCTCACAAAGAAATGTCAGACTTTTTATATAATGAGTTGGGTGAAGAGTTACTGTTCTCTTTGGAATCCCATTATTGTGACACCCAATTTAACAATAAACCTTTAATTTAATTATCTAATCTCCCAGGCTTTACCACACATTCTGTTTCAT